CCATTTAATGATGATCTTATATCAAGAATTATCTCTGGATCAAGACCTAACTGTTTAGGACCTGATTGTTATATTAAATTAGCTATTAAATGTATGGATAAAGATTTTGATAAACGACCTACTGCAACAGAAATTAAAGAAATAATCACAAGTTGGTCAGATGAAATGGATCAGGAAGGTGATAATGAAGTCAAAAACCAATTTTTGGAAGCCAATAAGACTAAAGCAGAGTCGGTTAAACAAATACACTCTCAAGAAGTTTATAGTAGCAAACTATATGATACATGTACACAAAAATTTTCCGAATATAAGTAAATCGATGGATACAATCGAAATTTCGAGCAAATTCTTAGACAGGTGCAGCTTTAGAATTCTTAGTTATCAAATTTCTACGATATTTAATCCCATTATATAACAGTGATAAATATTCCTTTTCATTTAATCTATAAATTTTAGATCATAATTTGTGTATTGGTGGGTTGTTTCTCGGGAGAATGTTAAAAGATCTAATGTTTCAACATTCTCAAAACATTTAAAAAAAAATTTCAAGAACGCTGTATTTAAAGATCATGTTCTCTTCTGAGAATGAACTAAAAACATAAATTTTATAATTTATTCTTATAAAATATATATGAAAATGTTATAATTAGTAAAATTGAATTTATTTTTTTTTATCAATAAAATTAAAAATTTTTGAGAATATAAATTATGAATTATATTCTCGATGAACAAAAAAAAAAAAAACTTTCGGATTTTTTTCTTTACTTGAAAAAATTTCTAAATTAATCTTATCTTTTCTGAATCTCTGTCTTTGACTTTAATAAAATTACAAATTGATTCTAAAATAATTGAGAAATACTAATATGCTAAACAACTTAACAAAGCAAATATTCATAAGAACGCCCGCCGTCTTAACTTTATATCCGAATCAAATATTTGATAACTAAGATATCAGTTATAGATCCAAAGAAAGTTAAATTATAGACATTTTTGAAAATTAGCATTCGAATCCACCCTTGGCAGTTACGTATACCAACCATACCAACCAATGCTAAACACCAGGCTATTAAGAAACGGTTAAAATTTTTCTTCTATAGTTATTAGGCGAAACCTAGAACAAAGTTTAAAGCTAGTTTTGAATTTATGAGAAGATTCTAGAACGAAAATAATTGCGAATATTATTTACTATCAGAATTCTATACAAACTGAGTGTTCTAAGAGGTTTATTCTTTATAGAGTTTAAATATAACAAATTAGTCAATGATATTTATTTACATGATTAGGCGCAGTAATCTTGATAAAAAAATGATTGCGGTTTAAAAAAACGCGATTAATAAAGTTGAATTGAAAATTAATAGAATGTCTGTAAGTCGAATATTTTTTGCTGACGATGAAGTTTTAAAGATATATATCTGATTTTTGGCATTATTAAATGGCTATCCTAGCATCTGTAAGTACAACAAACCCCTACACATACGGTCCTTATTTTTATCAAAGTTATATTAAAGTATCAGTGATAATTTATATCCATGAGCTCAGTTCAGTTAGCAGTGATTTGAGATTTTACATAATTTAACAATATCTTTATCTAGTTGTGTGAATGTTCATTATATATATAGAATATCCGTATATTTAGGGTAAGCTTAATAAAAAAACAGAATTTTATACAACTACAGTATAATTTGATTTTTTTTAAAATAGCGATTTAAAACAATTGTATAGTATAATATTATCATTTCTCAAACTTTATTTTGAGACGAATTATTATCGAGATACATCATTTATGATACGAAAACAGAATTCTTGATACGTACTATTTACAATGAACTTATGTTAAAATTTTGAATTTTGAACTTTGATAAATGTATATAAAGCCGAAAAATATGTAATTTACATCAACTACTAACTTGCATAAAATTCAACTGCAAAGACGGAGTGAAAATTAATTCGTGCAAATGTGAAATATAAACAATTTAGTTTATTATTATGTGTATTATCTACATAATATCAAAAGTATTGATAGAATGCGTTTAAAATAAAAAATAAGCAAAAAAGGGTAATATATAACGATAGCATACTCTTATTATTGTATAGTAATTTACCGCTTTTAAATCATGTTAGAATTCAAATCCACTTAAGTGGATTTAGAACTAATTCAATTTGATTCCGAACTTCATATATTCTTTATCCATCTATGATTCTATTAAAGTTTAGCATCAGTGGAAATATTTATTTAAATAAAGTGAAAAAAATGTCGTGATTCAGAATTCGCGTCTGTGCTACCGCGCCAAAATACCAGTAATAAACATTATCCAACCGGGCACAGATTCACTTATTGCGAGGAAGAACGTTCAGACGTCCTAAGCCCATAAAAAAATGTAGCTTACTCAGAAATAAAAGAGGCACAATAACGAAAAGAGCTGAAAAAATAAGTGCAGTAGCTAACGTGATAGATAATCATATGATAAAATATCAAATTCCACTTTACGATTACAATTTTTTTGTATGAAAGAGTTATAGTAATTACTCTATAAAGAACTTTGAAATTTTTTATCGTAAGAATGGCCAGTTCTGTTAAAGAATGCTATCTATATACAAATATTAAAATTCTTACAATTAAACTATTAGAACATATCGACATAAAAAGCGCAATATCTTAAACTTTGAAGGTTCTAATATAGTCGAAATAACATTAAAGTTTTAGAGACATGATTAAAGATATTTTATTTAGTTGCTGCTAAAGTTCTTAATAAAAAAATTATCGTTTTAAGTACGTGATAATACCGTATAGGCGCGTAATAACGCACATGGGCGTTATTTCGAAATTTCGATTTTTTTAAAAATGGCATATTTGACTCAAAATAACGCGCCACTCCATATGTACCAATTATCGTTCAAGAAAGTAGTTGAAATTTTTTTTCAAAATTAGCATAATGATTCGAATTGTCGCGCATGCGCGTCCCGAATAACGCGCCCCTGCGCGTTATTACGCGCTTATACGGTAGTAATTTATTATTATTAAAAAACTTAACTTCATCGTTATCGTTACTGATTCTGAACTTTAATTTTGACATAAACCACATTTCTTTATGGGTGACACTAAGACAACTAAAAAAGATCATTATGAGACTCAACCGTAGATATTCATTTCATAGTTGATCAACGAAGCGACGGGTTTCATACTAACGTCGACAATTCTTTGTGTATTCACTTATGGATCAGAATAAATCGCTTATTAGATCATTGGTAATCAGACATAATTATTAAACTTAAAAATAACTTTTGGATCCACAATTTACAAGGACTCTGCATATTTATGCGTAAGTTATCTCGGATTTTTCAAGGTTTCCCAAAAGAATGCATAACCGTCAATAAACATAAATACACATGCAAAAATAATATATGGTTATTAATTGAAAATCGTTTATTTTTGTGCGTTTTTTCTGTATGTTATTTATAAACGAATTTGTGCTTACATTAATATCAACTTACTTGAATATACAAGTAATCATTGGCTCCTACATTTATTATCACCTGGAAAATGTCAAATGAATACGAACTAGTCTTCTCATATTTAATGAATTGAATGAAAAATATTCACAAGACGAAGGTAAATGCTTATTAATTAGAGAGAAAACTACATTTGTAAAGAAAAAAGAGGAAAACTAGCAATATAATTCAATATTGCCTTTTTAACCTATTACTGTATTATGTCTTATTCGGAACATCAAACTTTTGTTTCTTGGATGGTGATTGTGATAAACTTTGATTTTCGTTTAACAACGCTTGAAAATTAAACAATGCAATTTTCCAATCATCACTTTGAATTAAACCTTGCAATGCTCTTTTTCCATGTTCAAAATGATTTCTCCCTTTTTTAACATTATTTGAATTTTTTGAATTTAGAACGACATTATCTAAAGTTTTTGATGTTTCTGAAATTGATTGAAGAGAATTCAGTAATGAACGACATGTATTCTGTAATTCTTGCTTTGGATTTAAAGTAGGTGCCATATTCGCGGACGTTTCTTTCAAATTAGGTAGTATGGTAGGAAAATTTTGTACGACTTTTGGTTTATTGTCATTCTTCAATGGATCTTCGACACCATCTTCACTACTATTATCTTCAATCTTATCGGAAAATACCCAATTATCATCGTCTATTAAATTATGTTAATTATTAATTATTTGATTAAAACATAAAAAAAAATTTAAAAATTTATTAATAATACCAGCTTCAACGTCCAATGCCAATTCTGCTTCTTCACGAGATGGTAAAGTAACAATAGGAATATCATCCATTTGAACACTATTCATATATAATATTGATGCGCGAATATGTTTGCATATGTATCCTTGAGAAAGGAAATCAATACATTGGCATGATATCTCTGTCGTTGGATATATACATGCCACATAAACAATTTCGCTTTGTTTATCCGGTCTTACCCATACATTAAGACTATCCGTATACTCGTATTTTACAATACCCCAAAATGATGCCGCGATTTTTTTTGCCTCCAAGTCACGTTTTTTATCAGGTTCCATATATACCGAATGTTTATAATTTGCTTTCAAAAGCTCTACATAACGCTGATCAATATAATTTTGACTTTGCGATTTTAAATCCTCTTCCAATTGTTTTTGGAATTTATATCTTTTCATGAAATTAGGCGTAACGCATTCAATCAAATACATGACCAATACATCAATTCGTAATTGTGTACCTCTTCTCTGGAGCTGACGTAGAGATTCTTTGCTGAGATGATTATCAATTGATTCAATGCAATTATTGGTAGTCGGAATAGACGATACGTCAACGTTCAAAATTTTTGCTGCATTAATTCTCCCAGCTTGTGACCAACCAAGTATCGTGAGACCACACCAATTGTTTAACAAATATTGAAAAAATTTAATTCCACCCTCCAAAATACTGAGGATCTGGCATGATGAATTAGTCTTATACGCTCCATCAAATTGACTCTAAAATAAAAATCATATCATTAAAAAATAATTTTTGAAAATTATAAAGAAAAATAAGATAAATTTACCTTTAAACCTTTTTGCGCATTAATAACAGTTGCTTTAATATGATTAGTGTCGTTCATAGTATTTATTTGCTGAATCACACTTCTCATATAAGATTTCATTTCCTTTCTATAAGAAACGATTTGCTGAGAACCATTGGCGCCAAGAAATTGCTTTAATATCCTATTCCATTCTTTATTTACATGAAAGAAATTATAAATCACTGCAGCACCTGGCCAGACTTGATGCACTGCTTGTTGTTCTCGATAATTTATATCAGTCATAACAACCTAAAATTTCAAAAAAATTTCAAAATAAGAATATAAAATGTTTTTAATTAACGCATGTAATGATAGAAAAAAATCTGAAATACCTTTGGAAAAAATTTAGCTAAATTTTTTTCACCCAATACATCAATAAACTTTTGTAATAAAGTGCTCAATATTCGATAATCGTAAGCATCATCAGTAGATTTCTTTGATTTGGGTAGAGAAAAAAGGAAATACGCAACAGGAATACTACGATTATCTTTATCAAGTATCAATAATGCGAATAAAAGTATTCTATTATCGCAAATCGTAAACGTTCCATCCATTATTAATAATTTCTGATGACCATAAGACCATGCAAGATCTCTTTGTTCTAATGTTGAAAGACCAATTTCGAGTCTATCATTTTCTTGAGTTCTTGGTTTATAATGAAAACATGAATTTCGTATCAATGAATTACTATCTCCCTTTAAAAAAAATAATTCCAATAAACTAGATTCTACGGGTTGTCGCAGATTGATGTTTAACTTTATTTTTTGCATTTCATCCATGATACTTGATATATCCGAGGGATTAACGAGCAGCCTAGAATTATCCAAAATAACCAACCCATTGCAACTATTATAAACAAATCTTTGATTGTCCTTCAACACCCACTTTATAGGTACGTATGATTTTAATAGATCAGATGTAATCTCTTTAACCATAGGATGAAGTTGCAAAATCGATGAATCAGAGTGTGATTCAATCGGTGATGTGACCAATGACGGAGTTTCTTGTAACGGTATAGTTGATGATGTAGTCACAATTACTAACGGTTCAGCCACTTGTTGTACGGTTTTATCTGATTGAATGCACCCATTTACGTGTTCAAAATATCCCATAACTTTTTCATAAAGATCTGTTGATTTATTGATAGTAATTTCTCCAAAGGCTAAACATTCCAAAAATTCAAAATTATGTCCACTTTTACCCGTATTTTTAGTATTAGAATTTTGATTAAAAATTCCACAACCACATTGATATAAAATTTTTCGTACATTAATATTATCATTATATTTATGTCTTATGACCCATTTCGAATTCGTTAACTTCGCGTTAGAATCTAATAAATCCGAAAGCATATGAGACCGTATAAATTGGTTTGCCTCTTCTTGTTGTTCTGGTGTCCACGATATAATAGTTATCTTATCATTTTCTACAAGTTCATTTAAAGATGATCTTTGAGCATCATTCAACAACAAGTGTGAATCTATCGATATTTTTTGTTTACTCATTTTTCCCTATCATTAATAATTTTTTTTTTTTTTTTTTACAAAGATTAATATTATTTATTAAACTAGGATATTTTAATTTAATAACATCTCTTAATTTATTCATTACCTTTTTTTAAGGTTATCGATATCAAAAGTTTAATCGTACACGTCGAATACGCAAAAAAAATGACAAAATAAGAACAGTTTAAGTTTGAATGCAGCGCTTGCACCTTTTATGCATGATACACAGATGTTGTAACATCTTATCTAAAATTAGAATAGTTACAAATAGCATTCGGCATTTGCAACCGTTAATCAATCATGTGACTCAATTATATATTTTATACGTATGCACGTATAATGGTGCAAATCATCGATATATTAAAGATGATGAGTATTGGTTGGACATTTTACGAAATAATTGGAGTGATATCGTCAAAAGAACCCAATAGGCTGCTCTAAAGAAAATTGAACCTATTATTTACACCGGCCAAGCAGACGAAAATCAATATATAAATAGATTGTAGCAATGTTATGTGACTTGATAGATCTCATTTTTTCTTTGGTTGTTCGGTGGCGTTTCTTAGGTTTTATATTTTCTGACACCTATAATGGTGAGTTTTAAACTCGTCATTATCGCATGAAATTATTTCAAATTCCCGAATTAACAAAAATTAACAAATTCTTTTTTATTAATCAGATTATCAGAATCTTTTATGCTGTAATTTTGATAGAATCAAAACTCTACTATTCCACACATTGGATAAGCTAAGGATAAAGTGTTGAAAGATTAACATTGCGAATGTATTATTGATCGAGTAATGTGCTGTAAAAGCAGCACAAAAATTTGTTTATATACTGATGGTTGGGGTGTGCGATATACTATCGCTATAATCAACAAACATAGTTGATGTATGTACGTACGTACGTATAATTTTAGGATTCCTCTTGAAATGCTATATAACATTATAGTGCAATTTTTTTTGATTTTACATGTTTTAAGGCGAAATTAACTACAAAAAAAAACGCAGTTAATATTAATAAAAATGGGAAAATGTAATTCGGAAGTAGTAGGAATTCGAAAGTTCAGTTTTGATCTACATATAATATCAAACACTCTAACTGATGGGGGCACTAATTACACCGAAAACAGCTGTAATTCTGCCCGGCATTATCACTTCGGCCTAAATTATTGTAAGTCATGTGAACTTAAGCTGCATTAGCCAGCTGATACAGATGTATCAGCTGGCTTAGCCGGCTAAGCCGCCTTAGCGGCTACTCCAGCTGGAGCCAAATATTCACCAATCAGAATCAACTACAGTACACCCTCCCAAAATCGAATCGATCCCGTCTCAATCAAATATAGTAGTTACTGTATCACGCTAACAATAGATAAAATGATGAATAAAATAACTAATATAGAATACATTGTAATGGGAGACAATATAGAATAGTTAAATAGAAGTCAATGAATTAAGCAAAAAAATAAGGCTACTTAATTGTGATGTAAAAGATCGAAATAATAAAATTTTATACATAACCTGAAGTGTAAAAAATCTTGTACAAAAAATTTGTACTAATATAACATTACAAAAATAACAAATAATGTTTAATAAAGGATACAAATTAAACACCAAACAATTTCTCATCATCATTAATACAAAGCTCTACCTGTTTTGCATAAATTATAATATGAAATCGATAAAAATTTGAGAATTATACTAATATTACACTACAATGCGATATAACGTACTCTATTCTAGAATGCGGTATTATGCGTGATTAATAAGACTCTTAAAATTTAACTTTTACGCGTGAACCCTTTTGTGGTCAGCTTATAAAGAATTTTTCTTATATAATTTTTTTTTTACACTATTATTGCGCTTTGCAAGAAGATGTGACCTTTGCAGATCACAATTTCGTGTGAAAAATTGGAGATTCTGTAGATTTTAAGAAACTTACCAATTTCAAATAAATATAAATATGACTGATCGAAAATATGAATTAATAGATAATTTAGAATCTCAAAAAATTTTTCATCATCACAAAAATCACGGGATCACATCTTTTTGCAAAGCATTATAACTACGTTTATTATTGTTCGTCATAGGAGCTACTCCTTCTATTTGAACGAACAGCTCCCATGGCTAACAATACATCTGTGCCTAAACGACGAGTACAGTATGGGATAAGGGTCGCGAATAAGCCGTAGGACGTCACGTGATCAGACTTTTCGAGTATCGTCTTTTTTTTTTTGGATGTGGTGGGCAGGATAGCTAGACAAAATGTCAAGCAGAAAAATTCAAGAACAAGGTATCAGGTTACTCAACTACTAATTTTCTGCTTTGCCATGTCCCTGTCCCATGGCTACTGTCACATAGAAGGTCCAGTGACTTACAATAATTTACCACCCTGTTACAAGTGGTTCATTATCATGGGAGCTACTCCTTCTATTTAAATGAACAGCTCCCATGGCTAACAATACATTTGTGCCTAATTAACATAGTACAGTATGGGATTGCTAGCAAGGATTGCAAAGGAAAGGTGATATTGTGCAAAAACATAATTCAATCTTTATTTCTCAGTCTAATGTGACTCTTTGGTCTTACATATATGTTTCTATACTAATTTAAAAAATGATATTTGTTTTCTTTCACTTTTTCTTCTCTTATTTTATTATTTTTTTTTTGGAGGTTTTAGCCCTTCAAAGTAAGGTGTGCTGTTCTTGTTTTTGTAATTTTTACCTCTTTTTTTTTTTTTTGGGTTTACATTTCTTGAAGCAGGCCACCTCTTTTCTCATATAAATTTTTTTTTTTTCTTTTTTTTTCAGAAACCTATTTGGTTGGAGGTTCTCTCTTCTGCTATAAATACTATCCTTAGATATAGCATAACTGTTTTTGAATCCCAGCCCCAATCACTTAGATTTATATAAGGCTTATACTATTGTCATTGCTGCTATCACTTCTTCAATTTTTAGTAAATATACTGTGAATCTTCTCTTTAGGCCTACATGTTTAGCAAAATTTTTTACTACTAAACTGATTGCTAAAACTATAATATTTCTTTCCTGTTTTGATAGAAATAGCAAAGCAGTTTTTATTGTCTTTGAGTATATCTGCAGATATTATTTTAAGAGCCCCACTAGACAGTATTTCAATTCTGTACTTTGGGATAAATTTGCTGTTTCTGAATCAATTAGTCTTAGATTTACATATTCTAACTTACAGGATTTCTTTATTGTCCTATTTTATATTATTTATAGTTAGGTTTCTTAACTCTTTTGATCTTGTATTGTTTTTAGTTTCAATATAACTAGTGCTATATTCTGCTTATATATAAGCTTCTCAGCCTATAGTGATTTGACATACCAAAAAAAATTTGTTATGCTATAGGAGAATTCCAAAGATTTCTGATACAACTTAGATCTAAGTTTATATAAAGTTTGTATAATTTCAGCCAAATAGATGTATAAAATAGAGCAAATTTTAAAAAAAATTTACTATATAAAAATGCAATATTTGATAAATTTTTATACAAAACTTCTTTTTTTAATAACATTTAAGTTGTATCAGAGTTCTTCAAAGTCTTGCTACAGAGTATGCTTTTTGTTAAAATTTGTATTATGGTATGCCAAAAAGCTAGTGTTTGTAGTTGATTTTGTATTAGTTAATAAAATTAACTTAGCTGATTTAGTCAGCTAATTTTTTGAAAAATCGGCTTAGCCAACTACAATAGGTTATATATATTATATTAAAAATTTATACCAGTTTATTACTAGAATCCAAAAATTTTTGAAAAGAAAATCAATGAATATAAAATACAAGCAAGTTGAGACAAAAAATTTAAAGAAATATCTGATAATCAAATAGAACTTTGAATAATTAACTTTGACTTAGCTGGCTAAGCCAATTTTTAAATATTAACTTAGTCAAGTTAATAAATAATGATTAACTACAAATACTTTTTTTTTTTTTTTTTTCTCTTTAAGGTGACCTCTTTGGTCAGTGAATTTTATTATAGTTAAATCGGGGTTAGTAGTATTTACAATGATTTTAACTATATATATTACAACCCGCCTTAGGACTATCTTGATCATCCTCGAGGTAAACCTGACATCGCATTACATGTCCCACACATGATAGTGCATGCTCGTTCGGTAATTACTTCCCAATTAGTACATATTGTCTGCCGTCATTGTGTTCGTATCTCAAGCCATCTTTTGGGATGCTGCCATAACACAATCTGTATCTCAAGTACAACCTTTCTAATTAGTCCTTCATTACTTTACTTTTGCCCTTATTAAGTTCATAACCAACCCCAGTACTGACATTTTCTGACACATGAGTTCAGCTCCGGAGACATCACTTTTTCCAATACAGTTAGCCTGTGAAGTCCTCTCATCCTCCAATGGCCAGGTTGGTGTAACCTCTATAAGGGTCATGATCGCTAGGCCTCCAGTTGAGTTCCTAGTATAGTCTTTACTCTGTAGTACTGTCGAAAGTTAGCCACTAATCTTAATTCGGAACTTCCCAAACAGGTTCCTGTACGCGAAAGAGATTCCTAAGATTTACACAATTTTGGACTTATCGAGAGTTTGCACTGCCCTAAGCCGGTTTGCATTCTTTCGTGGTCCCGAGTTTTCTCAGTTGTATGAATGCCAGCAGATCTTCCAGGAATACTACGCCCTAGTGTGACTTAAGTTACAGATACCCTAATCTAATCATCTTATACAGGTTACCGAAACACAAATCTATTTTTCAAAATCATTGTCCGTAGGATTTGAACTCTAGATCTGCCGCTTGGAGAGGGTGACGACTAGACCACTTCACTAAGCCGCCACGCCTCTAATGTTTAAATTAGTTTAATTTAAGCCAATTATATTTATTTAAATTATAGCAAATATGTTCAGCTGTTGCTAAAGACCTTATTACAGAAAATATTTATCTGAACAATAGCGAATTAAAACAAGCAATGGAGGAGTATCTTGATATAAATAAAACTGTTTCCTACCATTCTAAAGA